CTCATTTAATCTTCACAACAACCAGGGTGGGGGGAGGGGGAGGTGATGTCATTATTCCCATTTTACAATTAAGGAAAGTGAAGCTGGCAGAGGTTAAGTGACTTCCCCAAGGTCACACAGCTATTAAGTATGAGGCCAGTTTTGAGCTCAGGTCTTTCTGACTCCAGGGCAGCTAGAGCCACGGGGCTGTCCTTCAAACAAAAACCAAAGCAAACGGGAGGCATCCAGTGAAGCATCCGGGTACTCTTTCTTCTCCTGTAACTTGCTGAGGACAGAGGTATGACCCTTAAGACATTCTAAATGGATACAAGCCACCCACATGTCCAGGATGTGGGTATGGCTCCTATCTATGTGAAAATCATGGCTACAGAGACTGCATACACCAAGGTCCACAGGGTCTTGCAGATAAGGTGTTTGATTAATGCTTATCGAATTCACTAACATGAATCCACGCTCAGATGGCTACAGGCCCTACATGTACCAAGGCTGTGAACACAGGTACATGTGCTACACGGTCCTATTCTGGGACAAATCATGGCTGCTGATCCTGCTTGTCCCAAGCTGGGCTGGCAGGTGGCCAAGGACACAACAGTCAACTCCTCCCTCCCAGGACTCACATTCTGGCCTAGACTCAGCCTGGGGCCCACCTGGGGGGAGGGGGAGCAAAGAAGGTGGTGGGGGATGGAGAAAGGGCTTCCTAAGAAAACAAGGAGAGCTGGAGGATCAGGTGTTGGGGGGGGGACCAGGGTGTAGTGGGGGTGGGGAGAGAGGGTCCATCGGACTGGGGGACCAGGCATTGGAGTAGAGGGGGGAAAGGATGGGGGTGTAGTGGGGGTGGGGAGGGAGAGGGTCCATCGGACTGGGGCGCCAGGCATTGGAGGAGGGCAGGGAAAGGATGGGGGTGTAGTGGGGGTGGGGAGGGAGACCAGGGGGCCTGGGGGAGGAAGGGCAGGGCAAGGCGAGACCTGGGCGTTCGGGGAGGTCGCAGATCGTTCGGACTAGTTGCCCGAAGGGGGCAATAGCCGGGGCAATACCTGGCGGGCTCAGAGGGCTCAGGGCAGTCGGGTCAGGGCCAGGGCCAGGGCCAGGTGACTGTGCAGGCGGGCGGCCCAGGGGGTGGGCGGGGCGGAAAAACAGGGAAAGGGGCAGAGGCAGGGCCCACGCGCGAGCCCTCTGGCGGCGGCACCCGGAGCTGGCTCGGAGGTGGGGAGGCGGAGCGCACTCCGCTCTTTCCGGGGCCCTCCTCCCGCTCTTCCCGGCCCAATCTGGGAAGGCTGTTCAAAGGAGGTGGGGTCGGCACGGCCCTCTCCAGCGCAGGCTTGCCTCGCCCTCGCGGGGCCCCGCCCCCCCCCCCCACCTCCCGTCTCCAGGCCCCATCCTTCCCAGAGGCCCGGGCCTGGGGACCCCGGAGGCAGCCGCGGGAACTGCAGCCCTGGCCGGCAGAGCAACTCTGCAGCCACTTCTGGAACTCCGCGTGCCCGGGCCCAGTGACGCGCCGCCGTCCCGAGCCCTCATTGGCTGCTCCCTGCCCCGCCCTCCCCAGGAAATCGACGTCTGCGGCGCAGCCGCCCGGCCTAGCTTGGCTCTGGGGCGGTGCTGGGCCCGGTGAGTGCGAGCGTCCCGGGGGAGGGGGCCTGGGGACGGCTCCGAGGCTCCTGGGAAGGCCTGACCCCTGCAGCGCTCTGGGCTGCCCGGGGGTGGTTGAGACTTGGGTGTGTTCATGTGCGTGCGTGGGTGTGGTGCGTTTGTGCGGACTAGCGGGTGTGGATCGGGGCTCACTGTGCGTGCGTGGAGGGGTCTGTGAACTTTGGCTTCTGGACCCGGGAGCCATTGTGGGGAGTCTGTGCCTAGGCGAGCGAACTGTGTTGGGGTGCAGCGAATGTGCGGGGGGGCTCGGGGTGCTCTTTGTGCACGTGCGGAGAGTGCCGAGGCTTAGGGTCCCACACTTAGAGCTGGAAGGGACCTTGGAGGTCCAGCTGCCTGCGTTAAAATGAGTTGTTTTGTTTTGTTTTATTTGTGGTTTTTGTTATAGACACCACGGTCTGTTTGCAGGTACACCTTCCTTCTGAACAAAGAAGTTAAGCAAAACCAACCAGCACCGCTGCAGCCGCAGTGGCTGACAGCATGCCACAGTCTGCGTGGTGGCTGGAGCGCTGGGCTGGGAGTCCGGAGGACTTCACAGCGTTGGGCAAACGTCTGTAAAATGAGCATAATCATAGCCCCCACCTCCCAAGGTGGCTGAAGTGCCTTGTGCCATAGACATGCCACCAGTTATTATTGAGGGCTCGATAGACAGCCTGCCCCACGTCTAGTTAGAGGGAGGATGCGATTTTCATTAAGTTCTAAGTGTAGATGCCTGATCCAGCTGTTTTCACCTACCATTTCCAACTCTTCGTGACCCCGTGGGTTTTCTTGGCAAAGACACGAGTACTTTACCATTTCCTTCTCCAGCTCATTGTACTGATGAGGAAGCTGAGGCAAACAGAGTGAAGTGACTTGCCCAGGGTCACAGATGTGGTAAATATCTGAGGTCAAATCTGAACTCAGGTCTTCCCTACTTCACTCCCAGTGCACTATCACTGCCCCATCTAACCGCTGACTCTGGAGGAGAGAGTGAGGCTGATGAATTTGCACAGCTCTGCCTCGCTTAAATCCAATTCATATGCCAAGTCAAGACATCACCCTGTGATGTCCTCGGTCCTCTGAGAACAACCACAAAAAAGTACTGCTATGAATATATTGGTATTCTATATGGAGCCTTTCTGTTTTTTAACCTTCTTAGGGTAAAGGGAATGAACACTTTAGTGACTTTCCATATAACTCCAAATTGTTTTCCAGAATGTAGGATCTAGTTCACAGCTCCACCAACATTGTATCAGTGTGCCTGTCTTCTAGTCCCTCCATCTTTAATAATTTTTGCCACTTTGGTGGGGGTGAGGTGAAATGCCAAGGTTGGTTTAATTTGCAGTCCTCTTATTAAAAGTTATTTGGAGATTATTTTTCCACACAATTGCTGATAGTTTTCCCTCCAAAATTGCAAGTTGTTCATTCGTAGCCTTCTACTGCTTACCTATCAGAGAGTGTGGCCCTATTTGAGGGCCCTTTTATCTTTCATCAGAGAAATTGAATGCAGAGATTTTTCTCCTGCTCAACCCTTTCTCTTCTTCTAGTTGCAGTGATTTTATTTTAAAATTTTATGTAGTTGAAATTGTCTATTTTATCTTTTACGATCACCCCTGTCCCAGGTTTGGTTAAGAACCCCAACCCCATCTCCCTTTTCCCAGGCCATAGTTGTAAAAGACACGGACTTCTGTCATCTGATTTGTCTTTGTGATGTGACTGTTTGTTTCCATTTAAGCAATTTGGAGCTTATCTCAGTGTAGCGAGGTAGGTGCTCTTCTGACTGTACTTTCTGCCAAGTTGCTTTCCGGTTTGTCCGGTAGTTCTGCTTGAGTGGAAGGTGCTTCCTTAAAGAGTTGGTGTTTGGAGTTTAGAGGACGACGGTCAGCTGCCCATTATTTTACAGAGAAGGAAACTGAGGTTGGGGTTGAGTGACTTACCTAAGGTCACACAGCTGGTTCAGTTGTTTCAGTCACGTCCGACTCATTTGGGGTCTTCTTGGCAGAGATACTGCAGTGGTTTGCCATTTCCTTCTCCAGGTAAGTTGCAGAACTGTATTCAGATCTATGTGTTCAGAGTCCCATAGCAGACCCTCCGCTCTTGGGAATTTTCCTGTTACTGTCGAGGGCACCATCATCTTCCATGCTTGCAATCATAGTGTGATCCTTGACTTCTCCCTCACACTTACTCCGTGTGACCCATCTGTTGCTATATCTGATGTCTCCTTCAGGTCCCTTTCTCTTTATTCACACGTCATCTCCTCCCCTGATTCAGGCCCTTATTACTTCTTGCCAGGGCTAACTGGTCTCCCTGCCTTAACTCTCTCCCTACTCCAATCCATCCTCTGGTGAAGGAAGGAAAGGAGGAAGGAGGGAGAGAAAGGAGGAGGGAACGAAGGGAGGAGGGGAAGAAGGGAAGAAAGGAGGGAGGGAGGGAGGAAACATTTATTAAAACTATGTTCCAGGGGCAGCTTGGTGGTGCAGTGGATAAAGCACTGGCCCTGAAGTCAGGAGGACCTGAATTCAAATCCAGCCTCAGACCAAACACTTGACACTTACTAGCTGTGTGACCCTGGGCAAGTCACTTAACCCCAATTGCCTAAAAAACAAAAAAAACAAAAACAAAAACAAACCTATGTTCCAGGCACTGTAGTAAGCTCTTTAGAAATATCTCGTTTGATACTCACAACACTTCTGGGAGGTAGGTGCTATTAGTATCACCATCTGACAGGTTTAAGTCACTTGCCCAGGATCACACAGCTAATAAATATCTGAGGTTTGATTTGAACTCAGGTCTTTCTGACTCCAGGCCCAGCACTCTAACCACTGTGCCACCTAGCACATAAAGGTATAAACAGGTTAGACTGAATAGATCACTGGGGATGGAGGAAGTTTTCCCATTGTATAGGTCCAGTGATGTCAGCCTGCTCAGCAAAGGTCTGCAGCTTCCTCTCACCTTCAGGGTCACATATAAAGCTCCCTATGTTTCCAAGTCTCCTTATACTTTATTTCCCTACACACACTCAGCAATCCAGTTACACTGGTCTGTGTGCTGTTGCATCTGTAGTCTCTTTGACTTAACCCTGGCTGTCCTCCCATGCTTGCAGTGCTCCCCCTCCTCCCCTCCTCTTTCTCCTTCCCTCTCTTCCCTCCTTCTCTTCCTTCCCTGCTCCCCTCTTTCCCTTCTTCCCCTCTTCTCTTCCTTCCTTTCCTCCCCTCCGCCCCTTTCTCTCCTTCCATTCCCCCTCCCCTCCTCCACCTCCTCCTTTCCTTCCCCCTCCTGTCTCCCCTCTCTCTCCCTCCTCTCTGTCCTCCCTCTCCATCTCCCTGCCCAAGCTTCCTTCAGTCTCACCCTCTGCAGGAGGCCTCTCCCCTTGCCACATCCCCTTCCCCACCAATGATTTCCCTTTTACCTAATCTTCATCAATCTTGTGTGTACCTGGTTATCTCATTAATTGTCTCTCCCATTAGAATGTGGACTCCTCAAAGGCTAGGGCTGTTTTTGCCTTTCTTTGCCTATCCTCAGCCCTTAGCACAGTAACTGGCAAGGAGTAAGTAATAAATATTTTTTGATCCACTGATGTACTGATTGTTAGGACAGCTAGGTGGTGCAATGAATAGAGTGCTGGAAGATCTGAGTCCAAATCTAGCCTTACATACTCCTGTTTGGGTGGTTCTGGACAAGTCACTCAACTGTCTGCCTCAGTTTCCCTATCTGTAAAATGAGGATGGCACAGTGGATAGAGAGCCAGGAAGACTCATCTTCCTGAGTTCAAATCTGGCCTCAGATACTAGTTGTGTGACCCTGGGCCAGTCACTTAACCATGTTTCCCTCAGTGTCCTTATCTGTCAAATGAGCTAGAGAAGGAAATGGCAAACCACTCCAGTATCTCTGCCAAGAAAACTGCAAATGGAGTCACGAAGAGTCAGACATAACCAAAGTGACTGAGTAACAAAATGAGGATGATAATGATAGCACCTATCTCCCAGAGTTGTTGGGAGATTTAAATGGGATAATAATTGTGAAGTGTTTAGCACAATGCCAGGCACATTGTAAGCACAACATAAACATTAAGCTATTATTATTATTATTACTACTGTGTATGTGAAAAAAAAGGGCAGCTGGGTGGCACAGTGGATAGAGAGCCAGGAAGACTCATCTTCCTGAGTTCAAATGTGGCCTCAGACACCTATTAGTTATGTGACCCTGGGCAAGTCATTAACCCTGTTTGCCTCAGTTTCCTCATCTGTAAAATGAGCTGGAGAAGGAAATGGCCAACCACTCCAGTGTCTTGGCCAAGAAAACCCCAAATGGAGTCCCAAAGAATCAGACACGACTGAAATGACTGAACAACAAAATGTGTAAAGGGCAATGTGTATAGGTGATAGAAACTATGTTCTGTGCCAGGCATGTTGTGTGACAAAGCTGCCAAGCTATTAACCAGTGCCCCCCAAGGCCTGGGGACCACTCCCAAGAGTGGAGGAGGGGTGCCCCAGAAAGGACTGAGGCAGAGCCCGGTTTAGGTTGTAGTAAACACACAAGGTTTTAATCAGATTAAGAGTTTTTAGGATTAGTAGGGCAGGGTGGGTGGGGTGGAGTGGGTAGGGTGGGTTAGGGAAGGGAGGAGTTAGGGAGGTTTAGAATCTTTCCAATCACATCAGATTCCTTGCCAAAGGGAATATCTATTACCCAGTGACCTCTGGGTCAAGTATTCCATTTGCCTCCAGGAAAGTTAAGTGACTTTTACAGCTGGCAGATAGCAGCTGGAATTCAGTCCCAAGTCTTTGGACTGAAAATCCAATGTTCTTTCCATAGCTGAGTCATAGAGTGGATAGACTGCTGGACTTGGATTCCTGAAGATCTGAATTCAGATTCTGCCTCAGATGATTACTTCTCTCAACCTCAGTTTCCTAGGATGTAAAATGGAGATAATAACAGCATCTACCTTATAAGGTTGTTGTGAGGAGCCAATGAAGTGATACATGTAAAGCACTTTGCAAATCTTAAAGCACCATATAAATGTTAGCTATTATTATTCCAATTTCACAAATATATAAGATCCTTAGATTGTAGGGCTGGAAGGAATTGTAGATCAATTCAACTGTTTTATTTTACAGAAAAGGAAACTGAGTCCCAGAGAGAGAGGAAGATGCTTAACTAAGATCACACAAGTGGCAAGTGATTTAGGATTTTGGTCCTAACTCCTGACTCCCAGTTGAGTCTTTCTTTCACCAGCCCAGGGGTGGGGAACCTGCGGCCTCAAGCGTGGCCCTTAAAGGGCAAGCACCCCATCTCCGACTCTAACCCTTAAAGGGCCACACTTGAGGACCTAGAGGGCCCCATGTGGCTTTGAGGCCGCAGGTTCCCCACCCCTGGCCAAGAGTGTCAGATTATAGCCATGGGTTCAGAACACAGAGAAGTTTGAGCAGGGGAATTCTCTCGCTCAGGGTGACGGTTTTGTGGTCCTCATTTTCCAGTTTTCCTTTTGCCTATCAGTAAACATTTCTTTGGTGAAACTCTAGCCTTGTCCCTGCTGAAAGGTGATAGGGCTTTCTCTCTCTTCCACCCTGAATTCCAGAGGGAGCAGGGTAGGGTGCTCTACCCTCCCAGTGGCTGTGGATAGTGGCAGTACACTGTTCTGACTCTATTCCCAGGCATTGAGCAGGAGGGGACAGAGACTAGGCCTTGTGCGGCAAGCTCTCTTCCCGTGACTCGTTGCTAGGGATGAAGAGGAGTTTCTGTGATTTGGGCCAGTGAGCCCAAGGGACACTGTATGTAGTTATACGAGGACCACGGGAGCATATGGAGAATGCACAGCACCTTTTGGGCTCAATGGAAAAAGTGTCTTTGTCATTCAGGGGGTGCTGTGGGGGGGGCAGGGACATGGTATCTGTGTGTCTATGAGATATGTAAGGGAGATGATATGTTTCTATATGAGGTGTGTGTGTATGTGTATGTAGGAGGTATGTGTCTATACATGCAAAGGAGAAGGCCTGTATATAAAACCATTTGTAAAGGACACTGCGTATGCCTGAGGAAGGGACGCAGAATCAGGCCGGCAGGGCTGGAGGGGGCCTCAGAGAGCACCTGGTGTAAGCTGTCCCTGAATAGGAATGTTCTTCCCATATTCTCATCCAATGATCATGCAGCCGCCAATGGGGGACCCTCCATGCAGCTATAGGTTACTTTGTTGGCAAGTAAGGGCAGGCTCCCTGTTCCATTGGGACGTCCAATATGGGAAGGGGGCTATGTGTGGAGCTTAGTACAAATGTCTTGAGGACCCAGAAGCCTTTGAATGTTGGGGTGGGTCCCTGAAAAGGTCGAGAGGCCCAGCCCCAGATGCACCTGTTCATACTCCAAGCCTGGGAGAATGAGAGAGTAGCCTGGCCCTAAAACTAATATTGTCTCTGACTACAGCTGGGGGATGGGCTAGAATCCTTTCTCCGGCCAGAAGTTCCACTGGGGTCAGTTAGATGTAGAGTCTGTTGAGAAGTGTGTGGGAATTCCTTCCCTGACTCTCAGCCATCCTGTTCCCTCCAGGGCATGCAGGGCATCCCAAAACTGCCCAAGGGGGTCCTGTTGGCCCTGGGCCTGCTCCTTACTATACTGCTGTACCTGGGACTGCCTGGTATCCCCCAGCCCCTCATCTGGACCTGGGACAGCGACAATGTCACCATCCTGGCTGGCCTTACACACAGCAACTCTTCAGTCTTCTACCGGGAGGTACAGCCCCTTCACAAGCCCCACAGGTGCATGTCCTTTCTACTTGGCCCAACCATTGCCTGACAGAGACCCCTCCATCATGGTCCTGGCCTCCTAGGGCCACTGTCCTTCCCCCTTCTGGCTGGTGCTTCAAGGATGCCTGGCTTCCATACCCTCGAGCTGAGCATCCTCACACCTAGGTTTGAATCCTAGCTTTGCTGTGAACTCTCTGTGTGACCTTTTAAGAAAAGCCCTCGATTTGGAGGCAGGGGACCCGGATTCTTATCTTACTGCCAGGGTGACCCTGAGCAACCCTAAGTGTGGGTTTCCTAATGTGAAAAATCAGGGGATTGGATTAGAGGGTTTCTACGGGCCTCTCTAGCGCTGACTCCTGATAGCCTATGAATGCTGTGACCTCTCTCAGTATCAGTTTTCCCGTCTGTGAAATGGGGATCATAATTTTGGCATTGTCCACTTCACAGGGTCACATGAGAGAATGTGTAGATCAAGTGCTTTTGTAAATTGTAAAGCTGGTCTCACTGTCCCTGGGACCCAGACTTAGCCTTTCTCTGGGCCCATCTCTTCATGCCATCCCTCCTCCTCCAACGGGATGAAGTCCAGTCTTGATACTCTATCCACTGGGGGGAGGGTTGGAGCTCTTTGGGAGAAACGAGGAGGGGTGCCTCCAAAGAAGATAGAAATCCTCAGAAGGTCAGTATGGTGGAAACCTTTCTCACTCCAACGAAGGGAAAGAAATCCCCTTCTCTGCCTCTCCTCGGGGTGGACACCTGGCTGAGCTGGCCTGAGGCTGGGGGGAAGCCAAGGGGTGGGAGGGAGCATCAGGCTCCTTGAACCTCAAGGCCATGCACCCTATCTTTCCACAGGATTGAAGTGGTGTTACTACATGGGAAGGCCTTTACTTCACACATCTGGCAGCAGCTGGGAACACTGGAGAAACTGTCCCGAAGGGGATACCGAGCCATTGCTCTAGACCTCCCTGGTGAGAACCAGGATCTATGTAGGGGATCCTCTAGGGAAAGAAGGTTCCAAGGCTTGGTGGCTTGACGGCTGAGGGAAGGGCTGGGAAATGAGGGGAAGGGCTGTGGGAAGCCTTCCAATCCCACCTTCTCTGTGTCCCCTTCCCCCTCCGCCCCCAACTCTATCCTTGTCTCCCAGGTTTTGGGAACTCCTTCCCCTCCCCTGCAGCCAGCACAGAGGCTGGACGGGCAGATCTCCTGGATCACATCCTGCAGGACCTGGAGGTCAAAAACCCAGTGTTGGTCAGCCCCTCCTTGAGCGGCCTCTACTCTTTGCCCTTCCTGATGCGTACTCACCGGCAGCTTTGTGGATTTGTCCCCATTGCTCCCACCTTCACCGAGAACTATACGCAGAAGCAGTTCTCGGCCATCAAGGTACGCCTGGCTAGAGGGAGACCCACTTAGGGAGGGTGTATGGGCTGGGGGAGGGGCATGATGAGTTCAGGGGAGCCCCTGGTCAGAGAGGGGAGGCACAACTTCTAGAAGAGACCTCAGAAGCCATGCAGTCCAACCCCTTTGTTTTTTAAGTGAGGAAACCGAGGCCCAGGGAGGGGCAGAAAGTGTTGGAGGCAAGATTTGAAGCCAGCCCTCTTCCTCTGGAGCCACCATATCCTCTGGCCTCTTTTGGAGGTCCTGTCCTCAGGAGACCTTGAGCTGAGGAGGAGATGTGGGGTTTTGATTGTTGGGATCAGAAGGGTGGCGTTGAAGTTGGAGAATGTAGGGTCAAATTGTGGCTCTGCCGCTTCCTACCAAACAGCTAAACCTCTCTGGACCTCACTGTCTTCATCTTGGTCCCCATTCTGCTAAGAGCAGGGCGACATTGTCTCATCCTCAGGGGGCCCCGGGACGGGGTTGGGAGGGGAGTGGGAGGCATCCCCAACCACTGTGGAAGCAGCCCCAGGCATATGTGCTTCTCTGCACAAGGGATCCAGTTTATACATTGGTTGATGGCGTTGTGCTGAGAACGCTTCCCCGTGGAGGTGTACCTCAAAGCCAGCCCTGAAGGAGGGCAGGGACCTGGGAGGGAGCTAGAA